ACTCTACTACATTTTCACACTGCGTTTAAGCAACTGAACCTGGATTGATGACATCTTATAGCGGTAATTAATAATGCGATTAGCGTTGCCCGCTTCCTGAAGTTGCAAACTCAGTTTGCAGATCCCGCTGTTTTTCAAAACGTGCGGGTCGTCATGTTGATGACATTCAGTATAGCAGGAAGTCTTGTCATGATTGGTACGAATTTAGAACAGTTCCTTGCACAATCTCTTGTTGCAAATTACATTTTCATCACCCGAAATTATAACACATAAAGTTGCAATTTTCCAAACGCAACAAACAGACTACTCTACTACCCCTCCCTGAGATCAAATTCAATTTACCCCCAAAATCTGGGGGTTCACGTGACCAGCTCCGACCAGGGTCTTTGCTTCCCAAGAGCAAAGAGCCTGGGTACGAGGTTGTCCCTTAGCAGACTTGTTACAAAATGTGAGATTTTTGCGTGTGTAATATGCTCATGCGCATACTGCATGATTTTTGTGAATGTATGAACGTGCATAAGAGCACACCGGATTTTGGTATGCTCATGAGAACGCCCATATATGAGCATGCTTATGACCATGCATACTGCATGATTTTCGTGGATGAATGAGCGTGCTTATATACGAGTGTACTGGATTTTAGTATGCTCGTGAGCACGTCAATAGATATGTACCAAAATCCTGTGGCTGTAATCATAGACAATCCAGAAGACATGTGTGTCTTCTGGATTGTCTATGCTGTAATATGCTGAGGTGCATACTTATATGAGCATACTATATGATGTTCGTGAATGAATGAGCGTGCTTATGAGGACACCGGATTTTGGTTTGCTCATGAGAACGCCCATATATGTACGAAAATCCTGTAATATGCTGTTGAGCATGCGTATGAGCATACTGCATGATTTTAGGTATTCGTTATAGCCACGGCGGTTTGTGGCTATTACGAATATCGGATTTCGCCATACCTTGCAGCCTAGGCGGTTTACGGCTATAAAGGATACCGGATTTCGGCATGCCTTATAGCCACGACGGTTTCTGGCTGTGAATGATTAAAATCACATACATGCCATTTAATAGTTGAAAATCTAAGCTGAATCCATTCTTCTTGGAACCATATATTGAAACGCCTCTGCGAGATTTTACACATCAACCTCCTCCAGTAAATCGTCGTTGTCCTAGATCGAGACTTAGTCAGCGATTGGAAGGGCGGTCGTCCCCCCCCCCCCTCGTTTTTCCCTCCCCCTGGCTACGCCACTGATTTGAGAGAATGTAAGGTGATGCACATTCTGATAAACTTCAATCTCGACACAAGACAACCTCGACTTGCCTCCCGGGAAAATTTTGAAATCTAGAGTTCCTGAAATGCGATTTCAAGGCATTTTGGGGTGAAATTTTGAGTTTCGAAGATTATGAAGCACATCAAAGACATGATTTTGTTTACCAGATATTTCTCCTCGGAACTAAATGAATTGCTTGGACTGAGAGACCTAAATATTTCACCTCTCTGCGTGAGAAAGCTGAGGATTGAATTTCACGTTTCGATTTTAATGCAAATACTTCCGCTTTCTTGTGCAAACTCTGCAGTGTAAAACTCTGCTCACTTCATACTAAAATAAACCAACTAAGTTTGTTTTCTAAGCGACCTGAAGCAAAATGGCAAGATCTCAACAAGAGCTGGACTGGCAATCGACGAAGAAGACGGTGTTAGAACGAAGTTGTCATATGTTTAATAATCCGTTCATGAGCGACATCGCGTTCAGTTGTGAAGGCTCAGACAAGAAATTCTTCGCACATAAATATGTCCTCGCCACAAGTAGTGCTGTATTTCATGCGATGTTTTACGGCGAGCTGGCGGAGAAGAATTCAGTTGTTCATCTGAGCGATACGGACGAGGAAAGTCTGGAGGAATTTCTACGATTTCTTTATACGGACGAGTGTAACTTGACAACACATAATGCCGTGGTTGTATTGTACTTGGCCAAGAAGTATATCGTGCCCGCGCTCGCTCAGAAATGTTTTGAATATTTTGACGCCAACTTCGCAGCAGAAAATGTTTTCATACTTTTACAGCAAGCAATTCAATTTGACGAAAATAAACTTGAGGAGAAATGCTGGGATTTAATAGATTTGAAAACAAGCGAAGCTGTCGCTTCTGATGGATTTTATGACATTAATCAAGCAACTTTAGTAGAGTTAGTGAAGCGAGAACCGTTGAACGTGGAAGAGGTTGATCTTTTCAAAGCAGTTTTAAAATGGAGCGAAGCGGAATGCTCAAGAAAGGGAATAGAAGCGAATGCAAAGAACAAACGAGCCGCCATGGGAAATGCAATCTATCAAATACGTTTTGCTTCTATGACCCTTCAAGATTTGGCTCAGAATGCTTCCCGGTCAGATATACTTACACCAGAAGAAATGCTTTTATTCTATGATAAATTGGGCAAAGTAAAAAGAACGTCCGAAGTATGGAATATGTCAGAAACAAGAGCAAAAGAAGATATCTTACTAAGATGTCGTATATTTAATAGCTATAGAGATTTTTTAATCCGGTTGACAGTGAGCACTTGGGTGGACGCACTAGGTATATCATTTAGTAAGCCAGTGAAACTCCACGGTGTTCGCTTGCTTGGCTGCAAAGAGAAGGAATATAACGTGAAGTTAGAGGTTTCGTCTCGGATAATTGAAAAGAAATTTCTTCCAAAACAGGATAATCGTGGCATATCTGGGTTTGATGTCATGTTACCCGTACCAATTAAGGTTCAAGCTAATGTTCCTGTTCATCTGAAAGCCACCATAACCGGCTGTCACTATTGTTCTGCCGTTTGGGACTTGCGTGTGAAAAAGATAGTAGAAATAAATGGTATTACTATAAATTTTGAAACCGAGGAAGGTGGTCATTTTGATGGAATTATCTTCAGTGAAAATTTAAATGAGATGCGGCATTCTTACGATTTTAGAGATAATCGATGAATGATGGTGTAAACACTGTTAATCACATTTCAATACAAAATGGGAAGAAAGTAGATGGTGAAATGGCAAAGAGGTTGACAATAATTATGCCATAGGGAGATTAAAGAGAATATCACTAATTTTGAGGGCTGTAGGCACAAACTGACAAATATAACAGGAAACCTAACATCTTTAGGGGTGACCATTTAATTTTTAATGAGGGGGGGGGGGAGCATGCAAATACTAATTAGGAGGAATCATTATACTGTATAATCACACTAATTAGGATGAGTTTTATCAGATATAAAGTTACTCCATGTGACATGTTATGGCTGACATGATTTGCCACCAGGTTTATGAATTTTTAATGAGTATTTTAAAGGTTTGTAAACAAGTTGTTACAAATATGTTCACAAGCTGTTAGCGATTTGTGTTCCCACTGCTTGACAGTGCTTGTTCACAGTTGTTGTAACAAGTTTGGAGCAAGCTGTTAACAACTTGTAAGAAACTTGATGGCATTATCAGATTTTTTACATGGTTGTTCTAACAAGTCTGATACAAATTTTTTCTGTGTTGGTGTAGTGTACTCAGGTGAATATGATATTTGTGGTGTTACTCTGAGTGTATATCCACACCGGGCGAGCTTGAAAAA